TTTTCCTTTAAAACCCTGCTTGTAACTGCTGTTAATTGGAGTGTATATTCGCAACAACTTGAATGAATCTATGCTCCCAGGCTGCAGTCCTCAAACTTGGCCCAGATAAACTCTGCGTATATTAAGTTTGCCTCAGTTTTTTCCCTTTAGGTTGACATTTTTAAATGACTCCCAGGAATAATTACTTCCAGCTGGTTAACAGGTACAAGGCCTGGCACTCAGGAGCTCTAAATTAAAGTGATTTTCTGAATAAAAAAGGAAGGCAGGAGAGATTGGGAGCTGGTGGGTTTTACGTACCCCTCACTTCCTATCTTGGGGACCTACCTGCGGGAAAGCCACCAAGTTACACCCCGCCCCCTACCCAAGGCCCTATCTGTAGCTATCATCTGCTCTGTGCTTCAGGATTGGGATGCAAATTACAAAAGCCACATCAGTTCAGATATTTCATTAACAATTAGCAGGCTGATGGATAGGGGAAAACATCTCATGTGCAAGTTAATCAAAGTAAGGGCTGGAGAGCAAATAGAACTCCTGAGCCTACACATGTGTAGAGCAGTGGCATGAGTCCTCAGATGTATTTTAGAGAGTTTTTTCCTAAACAGACTAAGCTGCTTCTGTGTATATACTATGCATTTCAGTGGCTCCTGCTGGTATTTTTAAAATCATCCCTCAAGTTAGAAACAAATTGAAATGCTTTTACACACACCAGGGGCTTCTCAGCCGAGCTCCAGAGACAAAAGCTGCAGCTGAGCCCCAGCTCCCACCCAGCCTGCGGCACCTGGCCCACCTGTGAGCCTCGTGCTGCCCGGCAGGGCTCTTGGGCGCCTCCACTATTTCAGTGACCTAAAGCAAGTTTATGTGTGTTTCTCAGGCTTGGTTTTGTTACCGAAAGCTGCGCCTCAAGGTCTCATCTGAAGGAGAACAAGTGGTTTGAGGAGAAGGAAAGAGGAATTTTATTACTTTGCCAGCAAAGGAGGAGGATGGCGACTCCTGTCTGAAATGCCGTGGTCCTCACAATAATCAGAAATACAGAGCTTTCAAAGGGTGGCCATGCAGCTTCAGGCAACTGCTGCTCAATTACATCTGTCGATTCTGATCTGTCCCATCTCCACTGATGACAATCCTGTGACCTCCACCCAGGACCTCCCTTTACCAGGTCTGGGCTGGGCCACCTCCTGTTGCACAAATAAGGAAAGACTTACCCTGTGCCCCCAACCACTGGCCTGAGGCAGGGATGCAGGCTTTCGTTCTCAAAAAGGAGTGGAGGATGTTTTAAAGAGACAGAAAATATTTTTGCCATTTTTTCAGGCCATTCCCTCTGTGAGTTTCCTCATCTGTATGTAAATGGGGGTAAATATTAATAGTACCTGTGGTGAGACTGGAGGCATTTAGAATCACACCTGGTGCAAACTGTTTAATAAAAGCTATTTCTTTGAACCACTGCCTATCCTCCGGGGCCAGCCAAATGGTACTCAATGAACACTTTTTGAATAAATGCATCTAGTATAATAAAAAGCCCCAGAAGGCCAGCAACCATGTGCTGCATTCTCTGGTGGACCAAGCCCAGGGCCTGGCTTGGGTGAGTGAATGACACCCTGCATTTGCACTGAACACTCACTCTACAAGGGGAAGCATTTAATATGCAGATGCCAAGGTCCCATCTCCAGAGATTCTGATACAATCGGTTTGAGGTGGGGCTTGGACTTCGATATTGATTTTCTAAGCAGGCCAGGCGACCCCAATGTACAGGCAGCGTTGAAAGGCACAGACCCAAACCTCCCCATGCCCCCTCGTGCAGCCTCCCCAGCATGGAGGCGTGTGCTGCAGAGGAGGCTGGGAGCTTAAAATTCCTAGGCTTGTCATGCATTGTCATTTTCCAATCCTGTATTATTCTGGGTACATCAGCTATCCTGTCCCAACCTGTTTTTTTATGTGTTCAATGATTAATTTAGACGAGGTATTCTGGAAGGCCAGGTCTTCATTGGGGGGTATGGAGAGCAAGGGCAGTGACTGTTTTCAGTGCAAAAAAAAAAGCACCAGGATTATAACTTTCCTTGGACAGGTCTAACCCAGGGCCCATGTATCCGGACATCCATACTCTGTGAGTTCTCCTCTAGCTTGGATGGCTCCTCCCCTTCATGGTACAGCCAGGCCTGTCAATTCTACCCCACCTCTTCCTTATCTAGATAGCACCCTTATCCAGAAGATTCTGTTTCTGGAAGTTTCCTCTCTCCCCAACTCTTTCAATTGTGTGTGTTGGGGAGCAGGGAGCTAACACCTCATTTATTGATCCACAACTCTGCGCTGGGTAGTAGGCCAGGGGCTTTGCCTGCACCATCTTTTTCAATCTCCAAACTCTCCCGAAAGGTAGGTGGTATCCCACTTCCTCACAGATGAGTAGCACTGATCCTCCACACCAAATCCAATGCCAAAGCCTGTAACTCTTCCCTGCCTCCCCACTACCCTGCTTCCCCTCACTACCCCCACTTCATCCTCATGACACTGCAGTGAAGCAAGCATGCCCGTGCCTGACCGTCCCTGCTGCACATAGACCCCACCGCCCACCACCAGTGCCACCCTGCAACTGGACGACTGAGTCCTAACGTCCACCCTGCCAGGTTTTTCTAATAGTTAGACTCATGCCACTTTGCTGCTCCACTCCCTTCCTTCAGTGACCCTACTGCTCACCAAGCCCCAACATCTTGCCTAGAACCCAAGGCTCTCCATCACTGCCCACCTTCTTGCACCCAAGGTTCTGTTCTCCACAACTCCCAGTGCTTTCCTGCCTCTGGCCCTCTCTCACATCATTAAGGCCTTCAAAGAATTTAGCAGGGAGATTGTGGATTTGTTAAGATCACCTGGCCTTTAGGCCGTCTCTGATGAGAATCACAGAATGCAAATTAAACTGACTCCTGACAACGATCACATGCGCTAAGGCAGCTAGTACATCCCCAGAAAATTATTGGAAATGCAGAATCTAAGGTACCTATGTACACACACAGAAATCAGAATCTGCATTTTTGTAAGATTCCTAAGACATGTTCTCAACCTTGCATCCCCTGGGGAGCTTTAAAATTACCTGGCCTGGGTGCCAGCCCAGTTGCAATTGGTTATGAGCAGACCTTCCTGTAACTGCTCACACATTTAAACTTAGTCAATAAGTGACAGAACATTACCCAGAGTACCAAACCCCCAACTCTCTGGCTGCTAAGAGAGTAACTTGTTAGAACTAGGGGGAGGCAGGGAACAATCGGTACAATTAAATTGAAAACTTCATTCCCTCTGAACAGCAAGTTACTTCCAGGGATTTACTCCACAGAAACACTCACACCATTGTGCAAAAATATAAGGCGGTCACAAGCTTTATTTAAAGAGTGAAAACCCCAAAACAAGTCAAACAGTCCCCTGGTATGAGATGAAATTACAATGTGTCCCACATTATGAAATACTAGTCATTTGAGAATGAGATAACCTTGTAATTACCAATAAGGAAAAACACCCAAAATGTTCTGTTCGGGTAAAAAAAAAAAAAAAGCTGCAAAACACCATATGTAGAAGGGACAAGTTTAATACAAATGATAAATATCAGTATATGCACAGGAAAAAAGCCATCATTTTGAAAGGGATGTATGAGACTTTTATCTTTCAGATGTATTTCCTATTTATAATTTTTATTTTTCTATAGATCACCAAAGCAAGCTGAAATGGTCTTAGAAAATATATGAAATAAAACAAGGTAACGGCCGGGCGCAGTGGCTCACGCCTGCAATCCTAGCACTCTGGGAGGCCGAGGCAGGCCAATTGGCTCAGGAGTTCGAGACTAGACTGAGCAAGAGCGAGACCCCGTCTCTACTAAAAATACAAAGAAATTAATCGGACAACTAAAAATATATAGAAAAAATTAGCCGGGCGTGGTGGTACATGCCTGTAGTCCTAGCTACTCGGGAGGCTGAGGCAGAAGGATTGCTTGAGCCCAGGAGTCTGAGGTTGCTGTGAGCTAGCATGACGCCACGGCACTCTAGTTCAGGCAACACAGTGAGACTCAAAAAAATAAAAAACAAGGTAACGACAGTCTCAGAGCTTAAAAATGTTAGGTGACTGATAATACTGCCATAATAGCACACTGATGTGGGAGGAGAAAGAAGAAAATTTATCGAGGAATTCAAGCCCTCTTCAATTATCAGGCCCAGAGAGGAACTGGAATGAAACAGCAGCCACATCTTGCTCCCCCTTGGGCAAATAACTGCCTCTTGAAGCCACTTGCTAAGACTGACTTAGGAGACATAAAGTGCCACACCCTGTAGTTCAGCAATGCATAACCAATCACTAGCCAACGTGGTTTCTATAAACCAATGAGAATTCCTGATGAACAAGTTTTGTAACTGCCCCATTTTTTTAAAAAAAAATGGAGTCTCTCCTTTGTTCTCCTGAGCACCTTTAAGGTATCCAGGGCTGCAGTCCTCAACCTCGGCCCAAATAAACTCTCCATATTAATTCTGCCTCAGCTCCTTCCTTTTAGGTCAACATTAATCACAAAATTAGGTATTAGAAATATGAGCTTTATTTTAAATTTAAAGAAACATTGAAAATAAACTTTTTTTTACAAATTATAATCAAGCACTTAAAATATAATTTACGAATGTTAAACATTAATTCTTAATTCAAAATAATGATATCCATAGAACACACCCTGATGTTGGCCAATATGAAGTTTACTTAAAACTAGTATTTCATCTGAATTTAATTATTACAATGATTGAAACTTTTTAAAAATTGTTTTATTTTTAATTATTATGTGTGCAGAATAGTTGTGTATCTTTACAGGGTACATATGATACAGGCATACCATACAAATTAATCAAATCAGGGTAATTGGAGTATCCATCACCTAAGGCATTTAACATTTCTTTGTGTTAGGAACATTCCGGTTCCACTTTTTTAGTTATTTTAAAGTATACCCTAACTTATCATTGATTATAGTCACTTTGTTGTGCTATCAAATATTTTTCAATCTATCTAACTATACTTTTGCACCCATTAACCATACAATGATTCAACTTTATAAGGTTAAGCAAGTCTTTTATGTAATACCCTGGAGATAACTCTTTCAAATATGAAATATATATACCAGCAAGGAAATTATAAAAACATATATAAATTATACCAAAGGACTTGATTTAATGGCTGCCTATATATAGATAGATTATACACACATAAAAACACTGCACTGAATATAGATGCCATTATATTCTCTTAGGTATGTTACACAGCAAACGGCAGGCTCGTAAATGTCATTCTATTATGTATCAACTGAAAAAAATATATATTTCAAAAAAAAGTCTTTGAAGACATGTAGGAGTGGAACGTGCCTGCATTAAGAGCAGAGCTTTCATAGAACATGTTTCCAGCAGGCCCCAGGGGCCCTCAGAAAGACAAGATGGTCTTGTTAATGATTTCAACAGACTCTTGAATCTCATCCTCCTTGATCACCAGCGGAGGTGCAAACCTGATGATGTCGCCATGGGTTGGCTTGGCCAGAAGTCCATTATCTCGAAGCCGCAGACACACCTTCCAAGCATCACAATCTAAAGAAAAATGGTGAAACATGTATGCTCAAAGATAAATGTTTAAACATCCCATGCCATATATATGGGTAAAGTACAGCCTGGCAAAATAGAATTCCCAGTACTAGCTCAAGAAAGGAAGCTTTGCATTATATACATGTAACAAAATTTCTCACGTACCTCATAAATTTGCACAAAAAAGAAAAAAAAAGGAAGGAAGCTTTGAGCTACAAGCTTACTTTGTTCTTATTCTTTTTTTCAGGGGGACGTGATCTTGCTCTGTCGCTCAGGCTAAAGTACAGTAGTTGATCAGAGCTCACGGCAACCTCAAATTCCTGGTTTCAAGCGATCCTCCTGCCTCGGCCTCCCAAGTAGCTGGGATATAGGCACACACCACCATGCCCAGCTAATTTTTCTATTTTTTTGTAGAGAAGGGGTCTCACTCTTGCTGAGGCTAGTCTTGAACTCCTGGCCTCAAACAATCCTCCCACCTACCACCTCAGCCTCCCAAAGCGCTGGGATTACAGGCATGAGCCACTGTGCCTGGCCTCATAACTAGATTTTAATGGTATAATTAGACATCAAAGTTTTTGTTGGTTTTTCATAAATGAAAAAGACCAAGCAAAAAAAATATATATGAATGTGCTAAGGTTGCTATATTAACCACATGAGGAACCAATGAAAAAGAACTTGAGAATGACACAGATAATTA